ATGACTTTTGGTGTTCAAATCTTTTCAACTTTTTAAGTTATTTAACTCTTTCTGCCTTTTTTCTCTCATTGAAATGAATGGAGTCAAAAATATGACTCCATCTGCTGGACACTGGCATTTTAGCCCCTTCAAATTTTTCTAATGTATTCCTATGCAGTCTAGTTGACTGCAGATTAAGAAGTCCCCCGTTCAAATCCCAGTCAAATGTTCTTGTACCTTATTGATAATTTCATGGCATTTTATTCATTAGTCTTCTTCCACTCTTCAGTTTATCTTTAAAGCATCTTTCAGCCAGGGTACCAAATGACCGTTCGACTTTACTGTCCTGGCGTGAGAAAATCAAAAGCTGTTAGCCCATTGTGCGCTCAACTCCGTGGGGTAGAATAGGTTGGCAAATTAAGTTTTTATATCAAATACATGCAAAATGAACAGGGAATCAACAACAAAAAAAAAAGTTTTAGTTTGAAATGCATCATCCTGCCATGTTATCTTGCATTGTTGTTTTTCTTTTCTTTTACTTTGACCTACTTCAGCCCTAACCACGTCAGCTGTGTGTGTATCTGAGTGGATCCACCTGGCCTTTTTTACTGATGGTTTTTCAGCTTTTCTTTGTAATCTTCTGGCACCATCTTCTGGTGATTGTAGAACCATTGAATTTTCAGCTCTTTCAAAAATTTCCTGGCTTTTCTTTGGCCTCTTGTGGTTACTCCCTTCAGCATTAGGCATTCTCACAGCTGTTCCGCAGGAACGGGCAATTCCATTTGTTGTATTTAAGGTCCTCTGTGGGACAACTGGAACAGTATTTATGGTCAATTTGGATACTAAGAGCCATGGGAGGAGATTAATGTTGCTGTAAAAGTGGTTTAAAATGTGAGGCTAAAAATCTATTGACCTGGCAGGAAAAGCCCATATGGAGAACTTGGGCATGCGTTGAATTTAATGATCAATTCAAATTTTGATCCACTTGATAATCTATGACTTCTTAATTTATGAAAATCCGTAAATATAATCTCAAATCAAAGTGAAGGATTTTGCAAAAATATGAAATGGAAAAACACTATTGGCTAATACGCAGATGTATAACTGAGTAGCTATTTATGTCACATGACTGACAGCACAGGACTAATAAACACTAATAAACACTACCTTGGAACTGAGGAAATATCCCTGACAGCATTCCTGCATATTGTGGCTCTCAGTATCAGTTTTGCAAGATTGCACTTCCTTCAAGCTTTCTTTTCATTTTAGAGTATATCTTTCCAAAACAGATTCATGAAAGAAAGTAACATCTAAGTGGAAGTTTCCATCAAGTAACTTTCAAAGAATTTAAACTGTCTTAAAAGCACAATACACAAGTTGTGAAACATCTTATATATATCCAATAAGATTGGTTGGATTGGTTGAGCGTGTGGGAAAGTGTTTCTAACACACATGTAGTTTTGCAATGTTGCCACTAGATGACACCAGTGACTCTTTCAAGTGCAATGACTTAAATAATAACATTTCCAAATGGGTAAGCTCTCAGTCTAATATGAAAAATATGTAAGATATTTTACATGGCTATCCCAGTTAGTTTGTTTGGAGCTGGCCTCATATCTTAAAATGTTAAATGGCTTTCAGCAAACTAAAGCTGCTGTTTAGTTACCATTAAAGTGTGATGACTGAAGCCTT